CTGTACCGCGGGAGGGAGTGCCCCGAGAGTCTGTCCTCCTCCAACTGAAAGAGACCAAGAGAGTGGAGGGAAAAGAGGCGTCAGGCACAGACTGGACAGCTCCGTCTCGGGGGCCACCCACCGCGCACAGCCCCTGCGGCGCCGGCGTCCCGCCGAGGTCCTGCCACGGACCCTGGGCGCCGCTGCGGCGCCCCTCCCCCTCCTCCTTCTCCTCCTGGGCACTTCTCACACCGTGGTCTCCTTGAGGAGACCTTGGCCACTCACCTCCTCAGGGAAGCCTTCCCGGCTTACTCCCACCTCAGGCTCACTCCGGGCTACAGGACACCCGCCCCCACCCCAGGAAGGCGACTCTGCCACCGCACAGTCGCCAAGTGTGGGCAGCTGGGTGCCACCTGTCTCTCCAGGTAGGCACCAGGCTCCTCTTGAGGCCGCCGGACACTCCCTGCATACTCTGGCCATGGCAGCCGCCCCATCACAAGAAGTGTCAGGGTCTCGGTGACCACGGTCAGACTCTGGAGCCCGACTCTTGCTTGAATCCCAGCTCCACCACTTGCTGCCTGGAGAACTCAAGTGCCTGCCTCCCTGCCTCAGTCTTTCGTTCTGTAAAATGGGGTCATGACATTGCCGTGCCAGGAGGCGCAGAGCGCTGGGGACAGTGCCTGCGGGGGAGAGGCAACGCTGCGCTGCTGTGAGCTGTTTTAGCAGCCTGTGCATTACTCTTCCAAAAGGGGGAGGGTGAGGCCGGCGCCGCGGCTCACTAGGCTAATCCTCCGCCTAGCGGCGCCGGCACACCGGGTTCTAGTCCCGGTCGGGGCGCCGGATTCTGTCCCGGTTGCCCCTCTTCCAGGCCAGCTCTCTGCTGTGGCCCGGGAGTGCAGTGGAGGGTGGCCCAGGTGCTTGGGCCCTGCACCCCATGGGAGACCAGGAAAAGCACCTGGCTCCTGGCTCCTGCCATCGGATCAGCGCGGTGCGCCGGCCGCAGCGCGCCGACCGCGGCGGCCATTGGAGGGTGAACCAACGGCAAAAGGAAGACCTTTCTCTCTGTCTCACTCTCTCACTGTCCACTCTGCCTGTCAAAAAATAAATAAATAAATAAAAAAAGGGGGAGGGTGGGACTAAGTCACTTATCCAAAGTGGCTCTCCTGTGGCAGGGCTGGGTGTCACGAGACCTTCTGCATGCTGACCTCTGGGTCAGGGGCCAGGTGCATAGTGTGGCAGTGAGGACCGACGGGACCAGCTCCGGAGGGACCTGGGATGCTCAGCTCCAGCGTTTCGTGCTGATGTCACACGGCGGGCACAAAGGACTGGGCACAGGGCCTCCAGGGGAGTGCGGGGAGAGAACGTTCTAACCTTCTAACTTCCCACCTTGCTTTCCCTTTCCACTTGGTTCTGGCCAAGTCCAGGAGCATGCCTAGCAGTCTGCTCTGCACCGAGGGCCAGGGGTCTGGGGCCGCCTGGAGAGACAGAGGCATCCAGAGCTGCCCAGAGCCCCCGCTCACAGCACACGTGGGAGGCCAGAGTTTGATGCCTCAGCCAGAGTCTAGTCAGCAGCCGGGGGCGACTCCAGGCTGGCACTAAACCCCTTCAGGCGGGCAGGCGCCACTTGCGGTCACCCCCTTGTCCTCAAGCCCACCCCTGCTCCCCCCGTGGGCTCCCAGCTCCCAGCTGGCCTAGAGCGGACAGCCAGTACCACAGCCTTGTCTCCCCACTGCAGCCGTCTCGGCTGGACAGGCGGGACTGTGAATGAAGCCTTAGTCATCTTTGTCCCCAGCCCCTAGCACGCTGTCCAGCACGTGGCAGGGAGATGGCCCAGTGGAAGGCAGGCCAATGGCTGTGGCCCCAGGGACTGCTGACCTGCTGTGCTGTCAGCCAGGGACACCCGCGCAGGATGGCCAACAGCCCTCCCCCGAACGGCACGCCCTCGCCTGCCCACCCCTCTGCCCCGGCTTTCTCAGCCACTTCTAATTTGCACCTTAGGTCCCCTGGAGAAGAAAGCAGCTGTGTGTAGGGGAGACACTTTGAAGTGTCACACCATGCACACGCAAGAACAGATGCTCAAACGCCAGGCCTGCTCCCCGAGGTGGAGGTGACAGAATGGCAGGTGCCTGCGTTTAATGACTGCCGCCGCAAGGAAGTTCACACATCAGACACGGAGCAGACTGAGCCAGGTCTGGGAGGGATTCCTCGCAAAACGGAAGCGAGGGGGTGCCCTTCCAGGCTTCCCATCAATCCCACAAACAGAATGCAGTGCGCAGCCGGGTCTCGGAGCTCCCACCTCCACCCAGGCTGCTCTTGGTTCTGCCTTCGGGCCAGTCCCAAAAAAGGCAGGGGGAAATATGCCAGTCCACCTCGCCCTCCTTCTCCCCTGCCCTTGAGGAAGGAAGGGCTCTGCTTCAGCTGCTGTCTTGAAACGCCCAGCGGAATGCGGCACGCCCCACATGTTCCCCTGCACGGCGCACGCATGCCGACACGCCCAGGGTCATCCCTGCTGACACAGGCCAGCCAGCAGGTATGCCGGGGCATCTGCATGAGCTCCCGGCTCCCACTGACCCTGCACAAGCCATCTGCTCCTGGTAAACACACAGGCCTTGGACTGAGAGTTCCAGACCCTGGAACCAGCTGCCTGGGTTCAAGTCCCGGCTCTACCACTAAGCAGCCAGCTGGGCTCCCTGGGCTGGAAACTGAGCCTCTCTGAGTCTTTGTTCTTCACCTTCTACATCAGGACTGCCTGGGGATCACAGTGTTGTGAGGAACACACACAGAGAATATGAGCGTGCTTAGGAAAGTGGTATGGGCCAAAGGCCGGAAGGGCTAGCTCTGAGACTGCTGCCATTAGGATTATAACTCTCTCGTTATCACTCTTCCAGAGTGAGCGTCCTAGGCTTCTGTGGTTCCCTGCACACGTGCACTCCCACTGCACACCAGATGGACGCAGTGACGGTGCACCTGTATGCAGGTGCCTCGTCCGCGCACATGGGTACAACTGTACCCACGCCAGAGCTCCTGCAATGTACACAGCCGTCAGATACTGATGGCCTCGCTGTCGCCTACGGGGGAGCGGAGGCCCCAGGCACATGAAATTCACCTGCCCGGTGCACGTTCCTGGCAGCACCTGAGTCCGTGGAGGCTGAGGCGTGCCTGTCCCCGCCCGCACCTCCCCCAGCCTCGCTCCGCAGCAGAATTCCCCAGTGAGGACAGTTGTGGGACACAGGGAGGAACCACAAGGAAAACCCCAGGCACAGCTCAGATCCCGCCCTCTCAGCCCCGTCACCGGAAGGGGCGGGCAGAGCCAGGTCCGGAACCTAGGCCTCTGCACTCCGGTGCAGTGAACGGAGGAGAGGAACGCGAGGCGCCCACACAGACACTGCGCCTCCTCCTGCTTCTCGGGTGCCCATGGCAGTGGGAGCAGCGACCAGGTTACAGCGCAGTCTGGCCAGCGCCCCACTCCCAGGGCTGAGCCACCAGTTCCGGTCAGTGAGGACCTCACTGGAGAGGCTTTGGAGCCTCCACGTTTTGAGCCCTCCAATTTCTAGTGTCAGGACAAAGTCAAGGTGTACGCTCGCCGGGGCCACAGCCTAGCAGTCCCCTCTGGAGGACTTCTGGCAGGACGGGGCCTCGATACCCTCCTGCCCAGGCCAGCGCGGTCTCCCAGGCCGGCTTGCTGGTCCGAGCCAGCAGCACCGCCACCCTCCAGCCCTGCGCCTGGGCACCTCCTGGGTGCCCCACCAGGAGGAATGCGGCACAGCCCTGAGCCCCTTCCCACGTCACCCCTGAGGCCCTCCCCAGCCCCTTTGAGGGATCGTGGGTCCCATTGAGCACATGGTGCAAGAGTGAACATCCACTTCCCAGGTCAAAGGTTGGCCTCCACCCCACGGAGAGACGCCCAGCTGTGCCAGTGGCTCTCTGCCTGTTCTTGTCAGAGGAAAGTAACCGAAACATCAGGAGCTGTGTCCCAGCCCCTCAGCCAGATGTGTGAGACCCAGCCACCCTCGGGGCCCCTCCCGCCCTTGCAGCCTCGTCCCCAGGGCCCCCACGTGAACGCATGCCACTGCAGCCCAACTGGCCCCACGCCATCCCTGTGCCCACTCGCAGCCCCCTCCCCAGCTCTCAGAGCTCCCGCCCTCCATAGAGCCAGCCCTGATGCTCAGAACCACTTCCATTTCAGCCCTCTGCTTCCCTGATGTCTCCGCCGGCTCCCAGCTTCCGCCCTCCTCTGGGGCCTCCTCACCCTGCAGCCTTTCTCCACGACACTGCCCAGTCCCATGGTTTCCAGAGCCCCTGGATTCGCATCTCCAGCCAAGGGCTCTCTCGTGAGCCTTGGAGGCTCCTTGCGGGTCTCCACCAGGAACCCTGAGGTCCTGGTTTGCAAATCAGAATGAATGTTCCCTTCGGAGCCGCTCAGGACGGTGTCACTGCCTTACCAGAGCGTGGGCAGCAGTGACACCCCCCGCCCCCACCCCAACTGCTGCACAGCCCTCCCAGCCTCTCCCCGACACCTCTTGTCCCGTGTCCACAGGCCCCTCCCTGGCCTAAGCCGCCGCCTGCTTCTAGGGCACTCCATTTCCCACAAGGCAGCCCAAGGGACCATTCAAAAGTACTAGTGTCATCATGCCGCAGCCCTGTTTAAGTCACCAAGCCTTCAGAAACAAGCCCCAAGCCCTCAGCATGGCCTCAAGGCCCTCGGTGATGGGGCCCTGGGACCTTCCCCATGGGCTGCCTCAAGCCCTCTTTCGGCCTGCCACTCTGAGCCCTTGCACACCCGGCCCCCCTGGCGCTGGCGGCCTGCCTCCTGTTTTGTCACCTGGCTGCACAGCTCACAACGCAAGGCTCAGCTCCGCCCTTGGAGGGCACTTCCTCAGGAGGCGTGGCCTCCCCCTGGGCGTGGCTTGGATCCCCCAGCCTGTCCACCACCGGCACGTGGGCACGCACGAGGCGCTCCAGGCTACTTGCCAGGACTCTGGGTGTCTGGGATGGGGAGTGGGGTGCGAGCCCACGCTTACCTGTCTCTGAGGGCCTGTGGGGTCCGACTCTCTCCGGCGAGGGCGGGGTCCCGAGTGCAGGGGCGAGTGGGAAGGGCTGCCGGGCGTGGGGGGCTGTGAGGTCTCCGACCGGCCTTCGGCCTGGCTCAGCTGGGGCGGCGGGGGCTGGGGCGGCACGTGCCGCAGGTCCTCCTCGGCCAGCGTCTGCACGCCGCGTCCCCGGGGCCGGCCGGCGGACTCTGTCCCTGGCCGCCGCCGCTCCTCGCCCTCCTCCGGCAGGGGCCGCAGCTCCTCGGGCTCCTCGTCCGTGGTGCCGGACGTGCTGGGCTCGGCGCCCGGCGGGAAGTCCTTCAGCTCGGTCTCCTTGTCAATGATGACCCACTCCTTGCTGTCGAAGTCCTCCTCCTCAGCCAGCGGCACTGAACGGAAGGCGTTGCTCAGAGCTTCCTGCTCCACGGAGGCCGACACGTCCACGCGGCCGCTGGCCTGCCGGTCGGCGTGGCCCGTGTCCACCGACAGCATCTGGGCCGGCTGCGAGGAGCAGGCCTGGCGCGAGGGCGAGCCGGGCAGATCCATCCGCGACCTGCAAGGCCAGCCCCAGGCGGTGCTCAGCGCTGGTGGCAGGTGGAGGGTCCCTCCCGCAGCCTCCTGACCAGGGCACCCCCTCCATGGGCCTGGCTGTCACCCTCCAACCTCATTTCCTGGGAGGACTTCCTTCCCTCTCATTCACTCTACAAATGCTCCTGGAAGTTTACTGGCTTCCCAGAAAACAAACACGCAGAGCCTTAACTCCAGGCCCTGTGCCCTGGGGCCGACCAGGGAGTCTGGTCTTCCTTAAACCAACTCTGTCCTCACTCCTCCCGTGCTCACCCTGGTCAGCGGCTCCCTCCAGCTGCCTTAGGAGTCCTGGGGTTTGCAGCTGTCTCTCCAGCCACTTGTATTGCCACCCTCCTGGCAGGGCTTCCTGGCAGGGCTCTCTCCCCGGGGATGGGCTGCGTTGGCACCAGCTAACAAACTCTAGCGGCTCCTCAGCCCAAGCACAGATGTGTTCCTTGGTCTGGCACCGAAGGCTTGGGCTGGGTTTTCTTCTCACCTTCGCAGACCCATCACCCACTCACTCACTTTCCCCCAATAGCCTACACTGCCACATCTCTGTGCCACCTCATGTGCTGCTGTCTGCACACCGGCCGTCCCCCAACACACGCCCCTCCACCCAGCGGCGGATGCCACCTGCTGCAGGGAGCTTTGCCTGTCCTGCCTGGGGGTAATGCAGCCTCCCCCAGGACTCACTGGGCCCCTCCCCTTAGGTCAGTTTCCCTATCTGTCTCCCAAGAGACTGAGCTGTGCCCGGCAGGGACTACCCCCTCTCTCCTTTTGGCTCCAGAGCACTGACATGATACAGGACACCTCATTCGTCATCACCTTGAACTTCCAGAGCTCCTCACCTGGGGTGGTCCCAGTCCCGAGGCAGGGTGTGCGGAGGGCGGGGCCTGCTACCAGGGAGATGTGTCCTCTCCCCAATGCCAGGGCAACCCCCGTGGGAGCCACAGAGGCCTGACTCCTGCTCCGTTGTGGCTTCACGGACCCAGGAGCCCCTCTCCTCCCACTTGCCCCTCAGTCCCGACCATTCCCGGCTTGATCTGGGGGCTCCAACCGAGGCTGGCCCTAGGCCAAGCACCGCCCTCTCCCCCCACCTTCGCCTCCCACCTGGCCTTTCCTTCAGACCGGCCACGTGAAGGCAGAAGGGACCACAGGGTCTCTGGTCCCACCCTGGCCCAAGAAACTACCTTCTCTCGTGTAGCTCCGCCCTGCCATCCGCCGTAGACAGTCGCTCTGACTCGGGGCTGTTGACTCTCCGGTAGCGCAGGGAGCGGACTGGGGTTGTCGGGGATTCTGGGGGGGCACGCACCGGGGAGCTGGGGACCCCCACACCTCGGCTCTGCTCCTCCTCCACACAGGGGGTCTGCGGAAGAGGGGAGCCCCATGAGCTGGAGCCCACATGGCAGAGGTGGGTGGGGGAACATGGGGACAAGCGTGATCTGAGCATAGGGCAAAGCCAGGGTGCTGGAGGGGACCCGAAACACAGGCAGGGCAGGTAGGCGGACGGCAAGGAGCCAGCACCTCGGAGAAGTGGGTGGGGCCGGAGGATCGAGGATGAGGGGGAGGGCGGGGGGGCGGGGGGGTCTTCTCCCCGGCCGCGGTTACTTTGCCAATGTTGATCCGGAGTTTGTTCCGGTTGACATCTGTCTCCTCCCAGACTTCAGCCTCAGGACCCCCGGGGTGGGGGACAAGGTGGGGGCTGGGGCCCAGCCCCTCAGGGGCCCTCCCCGGCAGGATCGGGGGTGCATTCTCCTGGTCACTCAGGTGCTCGCCCTGCAGCACATCCTCCGTGTTCTCCCGCAGCAGGTCTCCAGGCACTGGCGTCACGTTGACCACCCTGGAGAGGCCAGGCGGGGGCGTGAGCCAGGCTGGCAGAGGTGTTCTCTCCTCCTGCCAGCACGGGCCTGGGGACCACCCACAGGAGTAGGCACCAAGGTGACCCTGGCAGGGGTGGGGGTGTCCCTGGGTCCATCAAAGCCTCTGAAGCCAGACCACCCCCCAGCTGTGAGAAGAGGTGGCTGCTGGGCCGAGCACCCACCCAGCTCTATTTAGATAGGAAATGCTACTGGTTTTCAAATTCCTGCCAGATTTCCATTGGCATCCACTGCCTGGCTTCCCTCAGGCCCAGGGGTGGATCTAGAAGGGGCTATTTTGGCATTTCCTGAGCATTGCCGGCACAATGAAGTGTGGGATCTCCCTGCTAACTGTGCACTGGAGGGGCCGGCGCTGTGGCGCACCAGGCTAAGCCACCGCCTGCAGCACCAGCATCCCCTACCAGTGCCGGCTCAACTCCCAGCTGCTCTACTTCCAATCCAGTTCTCCGCTAATGCACCTGGGAAAGCAGTAGAAGATGGCCCAAGTCCTTGGGCCCCTGCACCCGCATGAGACCTGGAAGAAGCTCATGGCTCCTGACTTCAGATTGGCCCAGCTCAGGCCATTGAGGCCATTTGTGGAGTGAACCAGCAGATGGAAGCCCTCTCTCTCTCTCTCTCTCTCTCTCTCTCTGCCTCTGCATCTCTAACTCTGCCTTTCAAATAAATAACTCTTAAAGAAAAAGTGTCCTGGAGCCCCCGCCCACTTCTCTGCTTGGCTGGCTCCTGGTGTTGGGGGTGGGCAACTTCTCTCATTCCAGCCCCTCCCTGAGCCACTTCCATCTCTGTGCCATCATGTGGTTTTGCAATTGCTGACCCATCGATTACCATGTGCAGAGAGCATTTCGAGGGCAGAGCCTCAAGACATGCCCATTCCATTCCTGTACATAAGCGACGAGCGCCAGATCAACCGTGGGCTCGGGTGATACCGTCACTTAGGATTCCCTAGGATCAAAAACTCCTGGGGCTGGCGCTGTGATGCTGCGGGTTAAAGCCCTGGCCTGTGGCACCGGCATCCCATATGGGTGCCGCTTCTAGTCCCAGCTGCTCCTCTTCCAATCCAGCTCTCTGCTGTGGCCTGAGAAAGCAGTAGAAGATGGCCCAAGTCCTTGGGCCCCTGCACCCACGTGAGAGACCTGGAAGAAGCTCCTGGCTCCTGGCTTCAGATCGGCTCAGTTCCAGCATTGTGGCCATTTGGGGAGTGAACTAGCCGATGGAAGACCTCTCTCTCTGTCTCTCCCTCTCACTGTATATAACTCTACCTCTCAAATAAATTAAAATATTCTCTTGCATAAAAGTCACTAAATCTTCCAAAGAGGATGCCTCCTGTGTGCTCAGACTGAGGGTGCACATGGCAGTGTTGTCCCAAGTTCCAGAACGCCACTGTTGAGCACTGAGAGTAGGAGAGAAGCGTGGTGTGTCCAGGAAGAGACGGTGACAACTCCAGGCAGGGGCCACCGGCTGTCCACCTCCCCCCACCCCCCTGACTCACCCAAACATGGCGGCCGTCTGCCGGGTGTTCTGCTGGGGCGGGGTGGAGGTGCTTGTGGAGAGGAGGGCGTCGGTGCCTGCCTTCTCCCAGTCAAAGGCCTCGTTCTCAGCGATGCCCCGCTCCTTCATGCTGTTCTCGAACACCGACATGATCAACTGCAGGGGGCGGGGTTGTGGGAGCACAGAGAGGTGACCCCGGGGCTAGCCAGGAGGAAGGAGGAGTGGCGGGGATGACAGGGGCAAGAGAGGGCTTTCTAGGAAGGGAGGAGTCTAGAGGGGGCATTGGAAGGAGAAGGGCACATTGATTTGAAATGAAAACATGCACATGGTATGCAAATCAGCATGCAAATGATCATCCTGGATTGCAGGGGGGAGGGGCGGGACACAACCCTCTGAGATGTGTCCCCTGATTACCCTGCCTGCCACCATCTGGGCGGGAGCATCAGCTGCCTGAACCGCGGGGAGTCCCCCACACCCCCAGCGTGGGGCCCTGCTCTGCACAGGCTGCCTCCTCTGCAGGGGCCTCCCCGTGCCGCCCACGTGTCTCCCCTTCTCCCCACTGGTCACTGGGCACAGGCACTGCTGTGAGCCTCTCACACGCCTACCTGCCAACCCTGTGTCCCTAGCAGCCTGCACACAGCCCAGCACGGGCCTCAGGGAGCCCATGGGGCCGAGCCCGGAGCAGGGGCCACCTCTGCCAGCAATGAGGGGTCTGAGTACAGGGGGTGCTAAGCAGCTACTGATCCCCCGAAGGCCCCCAGACCAGGCCACTTCCAGCTTGGCCCTCTCCAGCATGCACAGTAGGTTTTCTGCTGACAGAATCCATTTAACTGGGTGCCTACTGTGTGCTCCCCATGCCTGGCACATAGTGGGTCCCTGGGATGCAGTGATGGTGCCTTTGAAAGAGTAGTGAGGGCCGACACTGTGGCGTAGCAGATAAAGCCACCACCTGCAATGCCGGCATCCCACTGGGGGACTGGTTCGAGTCCCAGCTGCTCCACTTCCAATCCAGCTCTCTATTAATGCACCTGGGAAAGCAGCAGAAGATGGCCCAAGTGCTTGGGCCTCTGTGCTCACATGGGAGACCCAGATAAGCTCCTTGCTCCTGGCTTCAGCCTTGCCCAACTCCAGCCATTGTGGCCATCTGGGGAGTGAACCAGCGGATGGAACATCTCTTTCTCTCTCGGTCTCTCCCTCTTTCTCCCTGTAACTGTGCCTTTCAAATAAATAAAATAAATCTTTAAAAATAGAAGGAAAAAAAAAAAGAAAGAGAACTGGACTTGGTTTTGGTCCGCGACAGGCTGCACAGACGTTCAGCTGTGGTCCCCTAAGATTCTAATGGGGCTGCATCATTCCGATCACCTCGTGATGTCGAAGCCGCCCCAGCACAGCCAGGCATGTCACTCCCAGGTTGGTGTTAAGCTGGTGTAAAGGAACCTCCCCACCGTGTGCAAGCACAGCAATGCGGTTATGCACCGCACAGAGCGCCCAGCGGCGCCCGGAAGTGCCGAGGTTCCCGGTTCATGCAGTTGATATACCACACTCCCCTCATTATTTACAGCCCACTCCTGCTTAACAAAAAAGACAGAAGCGCTCCCTGCCCGACAGCAGCCTCGACGGCTCGTGCTGACCACACCTCGTGATCGCATCATTTTCCCCGTGCCTGAACCAACCAGGAGTGAGTCTGTCCCATACTCGTACGCTGCAGCCTAGGCGTGCAGTGGGCCACGCCAGGCAGGCTTGCATAGCTACACTCTGTGATGGCCAACACCAAGGAAGTCGCCTAATGCCCCATGTATCAAGACTGTGTCCCCTCTGTCCAGTGACACAAGACTGCACCCAGACCCACCCCTGCTCCCAGCCAGGATACGGAACTTCATTTTCCTCATCTATGAAATGGGAACAGTCACCACCACCACCCCCTTGCGCCTCCTGCAGGGTTTTGGGGTAAAGTACTGGAAAGCCCTTGGCTTTGTCAAGCGCTACAGTGTCAAGGGAAGGAACGCTCAGGGTCCTCGGAGGCTTCGATGAGTTAATGCATGGAAACCTCTGAGCACAGGGCCGGCTCTTGTTGAGGTTCAGCTGTGACCACTGTTGACACGAGCACAGAGCTGTGAGAGGACCAGGGGGAGATGCTCAGGGCCAGGCAGCAGGGCCCTGGGGCCTGGGGCACGAGTGGGCACAGCCGCAGGCCGCGGGCTCACAGCGGTGTCGGGGAGCAGGGGCGGCGGGGGCGGCGGGGGCAGCGGCTGGCACCTGGTAGTCGGGCTTGGTGAAGTAGTCCAGGCTGGCGATGTGGTCAAGGAAGAGGTGGAACTCGGAGGGCATGTGCTTGAGCAGCATCCGGTGCTCGTACTTCTCCTTGATCATCCCCACCTGCTCCTGCAGGCAGGAGGGCGAGGGAGACGGAGCCCAGCTGCCTTTATGTCCCCCCAGCCACCCACCCACACACACACACACCGGCCGGGCGGGGCTCACCTTGTCCTTGATCTTCCGCCAGGGCAGCTGGCCCACTGCAAACTCCACCAGCATGTAGAAGAGGGACCACAGGTCGTCGTGGCGGCCCATCTCCTGGGGGCAGGCAGGGAGTCAGCCACGCTCTCAGGTCCTTCCCTGGGCATGGGGGGCTGCCTATCTCCCAGGGTCACGTGTCAGGGAGGCCCCTCCGGACAGAGCTGGGGTCTCCCTGGGGGTGCCACAGCGCCGCCCCTCACCCTCCAGCACACTTGGGATCCTGTGTGTCTACTGTTTCTCACCCCACAGTGACAACAGAAAGGACAAGGACCCAGGAGAAAAGGAAGAGTCGAGTTGAAGACCCCAGAGGCGGCGCCTTCTTCCAACCCAGCTGGCAGGTTCCAGCCCCTGCCCCGGTCTCTCCCCTCCTTGACCCCAGCTGCCCATGTACGCCCTCCGCCGCAGCATGTGCCACCCTGACCTCATCCACGCAGCCCCCACACATCTCAGCCCAGGCCTGCCACTCACCCGGTTCTTGTGCGCGTTGACTGAGGCATAGCGCACGGTCCCCCGAAACCCCGCCACATTCCGAGGCTGCAGAGGAGAGAGCGTCGTCAGGAGCCTCACCCCTCCTCCTTGGCCACTGCCAAGCCCAGCTCTGCCTGCCTTGACCCTGCCTCGACTCTCAGGATGATCTGCCCGGGAGCAGACCCAAGACCCACGCTCTGACTCCCCCCCCCCCTGTCCCATACCTGCCTCTGGCATGGAGCCCGCTGGCTGTGGCTAAGGCACCCCCCAACCCCTACCCCACCCAGAGCCCAGGCTGAGGGAGGAGGGGCCGAGCTGAGTATGGACGCTAGAGTCAGGAGTCCAGGGGAGGGGAGGCGGTGGGGACTCGGGGTCTCCAGGGTGTGGTGGCACTCACGGGCCGGACGTCCCCCGTGGTGTTGGTGTACTGCCGGGCCAGCCCGAAGTCCAGCATGTAGCACTTCCTGTAGGTGGAGGGCAGCCTGCCCATGGCAAAGTTCGACTGTGGAGACAGCAGCCGTGAACCCCGGGGGCTCCCACCTCGAGGAGAGCCTCACACACAGGAAGACACCACACCCACACCCACACCCACACCCACACCCACACCCACACCCACACGGACGCGACAGGTGCTGTCTCTGCAGCTCTCTCACTTCAGCATTAGGAAAGCAGAGGGCAAAGGCGGGAAGGACTCTGAGAGACTGCACAGCAAGGGAATGATGAGCCAGCCAGGGCCTGAACCCAGACCCTCCCCGGCGGGCCAGCGGGGTCTGGTGTGCTCCAAGGCGGCAGATCTGCCCTGTTCCCGCCACTCTGCTAACCTTTCTGGCCTTCAGCTCTTATCTCTGTAAGTGGGAACTTTTTCTCCCAGCACCAAGATCCAAAAGGCCGCAAACTCAGCTCCTTGGAGCTCCCTGCCAAGCCCTGGCCCTCCGCCTCTTTCCCTCAACCTGTCCATCCCTTCCCCAAGCCCTTCCCCTGCGAGGGTCAAGGGCTATTGGGGTCAGAGGTGAGGGGTGCAGAAGAGAAGAGAACAGAGGCAGGCGAGCAGCAGGGGCGTGCGCTCCCTGGGGGCGGGGCGAGGAGGAGGCGGGGCGAGGAGGAGGCGTGGCTCCCAGAGAGGGGCTGGACGCTCGCAACCGCTGCGGGGAGAGGAAGAGAGGAAGCAAGGCTCACCGGCTTGATGTCCCGGTGCAGGAAGCCCACGGAGTGGATGGCCTCGATGGACTCCAGGATCTGCTTGCCCAGCCGCAGCGTGGTGCTCAGGGTGAAGGTGCCTCTCGGCTGGCTGCGGCGCAGGTCGGCCAGGTTCCGGCCCTGGGGCGGGGGGCACAGTCCAGCCTTGGCTGCCATCCTAGCCTCCTCCACCGTGATGCTCTGCCCAGCCTCGTCCCCAAACGGTTGTGCCCACGCTCCACGCGTCCCGGGAACCGCAGTCTCCCTTCCCTACACCCCTCCCCAGTCACAGCCCATACTCCTGGGGGAGAGGGCGGAGAGTGTGGCTCAGGGGGCTCACCTGAAGCTGCATCACTACGTAGTTAAACTTCTCGTTCCTGCCACAGCCAATGAACCTGCACACGTGGTCCTTCCCTGAGGGGTACAGAGAGGGGTCTCTCAAACCAACCCCAACATGGGCTCCTGGGGAGCCTTGATTCCTGGGGCCCCAGTCCTGGCCCGCAGGTGCCTGGCCCATCACCTCCTCCTGCCCTTGGCCCCATCATATCTGTCAAACTCTGGCTCCCCCATTCCCCACGACCCGCCCCCCCGCAGCACCTGGCTCTATCACCTCCTCCCCCGGCTCCATCTCTCATCAGCCCTCCTAGCCCCGGCTCCAGCCTCTCCCCCACCCCTCCTTGCCCTAGCCCAGGCCCGCACCTTGCAGCTTTTTGAGCACAGCCACCTCCATCTTGAGGACCTGTTTGGGCTGCTGGGCAGACTCCACCTTGAGGGCCACGTTCTCCCTGGTCAGCAGGTCCATGGCCTCGTAGATTTCGCCAAAGCCCCCGCCCCCGATCTTTTTCAGCTGCAGAGATAGAGGAGAGGGGCTGCTCAGAGACGCGGCTGGACAGCTCCTCCTACCAGCCTGCTGGGGCTCTTCCTTCCTGGACAGGGAACGGAGGCCCTGACGGGGAGGACTGCAGGGGTCCTTTCCTTGCCCCCACCCTATCAGTGCCCTGAGACCCACAGCTCAGCCCATGGGTGTTCAACCACCTGCACGCACACACATGCGCACGGGAAGATTTCAGAGCGAGTGGCAGGGAAGGAGCAGAGACCCGCGACTCCAGGCAGACATGGGGATGACCCGGTGCCAGATTCTGAAGAGCTAATGGACTGTCCCAGGCATTTTCTTTTCTCGAACGACAACACACGCACTCGTCCCACCCCATGGCTACACTGAGCCACCTCCATCCAGAAGGAAAACCATTTCCAGGGCCTCCCAGGCTCAGGGCGGGCTGACCCCCAGGGCAACCAGCGCATCTGGGGGCTGCTTTGTCCTGAGGGGTGTCAGCAGGGGGAGAGACTGTTCCGGAAATGGGGCCGAGCAGTGGGCGTCCCAGCTCACGCCCACTGCTGAGGCTCACGTGGCTGTCTAGGTCCCTGGTCGGATGCCTGAAGTCAGGCTGAGCCTCTCCTACTTTGGGGCCCGGTGCTGGGAAGGAGCTTTGGGGAAGACTGGCGCAGCGATCTGAACGCAGGCACCCTCAGCCTGTGGGAACAGGCAGGGAGAGAGGTGTGGAGGAGCCCTCGACTGCACAGGAGGCGCAAAGCTGAGTTATGGCCAGGGATTAAAAGTCTTTGCAACCCAGAGGGTGAGGGGGCTCCTGGCTCCGTCAGAGGGGCAGGGAGGTGGTGCTGAGTTGTAAGCGGGGACTTGTTTGGTTTCATAAAGAGGACAGGGGCCAGCATTGTGGCATAGGGGGTAAAGCCTCTGCCTGCAGTGCTGGCATCCCAAATGAGGCCCATTCACGTCCCGGCTGCTCCACTTCCGATCCAGCTCCCTGCTAATGCACCTGGGAAAGTGGTGGAAGATGGCTCAAGTGCTTGAGCATATGGGTGACCCAGAAGAAGCTCCTGGCTCCTGGCTCCTGGCTTTGGTCTGGCCCAGCCCTGGCCTTTGAGGCCATTTGGGGAGTAATCAGCAGATGGAAGATATCTCTCTCTCTCTTTCCCTCCCTCCCTCCTGTTCCTCCTTTTCTCCCTGCTTTTCAAATAAATAAGAAATAAATCTTAAGAAAAGAGGGGCCAGCGCTGCACCAGTTCAAGTCCCGGTTGCTCCTCTTCCCATCCAGCTCTCTGCTATGCCCTGGGAAAGCAGTAGAAGATGGCCCAAGTCCTTGGGCCCCTGCAACCCATGGGAGACCCAGAAGAAGCTCTGGGCTCTTGGCTTCGGATTGGTGCAGCTCTAGCCATTTTGGACATCTGGGGAGTGAACCAGCGGATAAAAGACCTCTCTCTCTGTCTCTCCCTCTCTCTGTAACTCAGCCTCTCAAATTCATAAAATAAATCTTTAAAAAAATAAATTAAAAAAAGAAAGAGGACGGCTCGATCCCACCTCTCAGGAGCTGCTTTCAGGGCTGCCTGCCTCTGTGCATCTCCCTGAGCTCTGCCTGTTGCCCAGGGGCCTGGACCCTGCAGCAGCAGACAAACTCGGGGCCCAGATGAACTTGGGGCCCAGATGAACTTGGGGCCCAGATGAACTCAGAGCTCAGATGAACTCCGGGCCCGCGCCTCCTGCATTTCTGAGCCCTCCCCTTCACATCTACGCAGCACTTGACCCAACAGTCGTTTAACCGTGGTTGAAACCCCGCATGGAGCTGGGGGACTGGGGTTTAGCACAGGCTACAGCCGAAGCCTCCCCAGAAAGAGAGGGGAAGGAAGGGAAGCAGAAAGCTGGTGGCAGCACGAGGTTCCTGCGCCCAGGAAGGAGGGCAACAGGGAGAAACCAGGAGGGGACGCACTCGGACCACAGGCAACATCTCGGGGGTGAGGGACGGAAGCTCAGAATCTCGGTGGATGCCCAGAGCTTCTGGGTTCCTGCAAGTCTGCAGTGTGTAATCACACAGAAGGGGACAAGGGGGCGGGAACAGGGGCTGCTGGGCTTCTCAGAGGTCATCTCAGCTAAGCCCCAGGCTCCGCACAGCTCAGGAGAGGAAGCTCGGGTGAGCCTTCATTTCCCCAGAGTGAACAAAGAGGCCCCGGGTGCAGTATGTAGCTCCAGCTCACGCTGCCAGTGAAACAGAAAAGCCATTTCCTTTAAACCCAGGCAATCGCACACAGAGCCCAGACGGCCACAGCATCCACAATGTAAGAGGAGCCTTGGACCACACTGGCATTAAAAGTGTGAGTGCTGAGATCCAAGCTCAGATCTGCCAGGCTCCAAAATGCTGGGACCCAGGGAGGCATTTGTGACAGTTACTCCCAGCTCCCCAGGTGCCTGAGGGTGTGTCTCTGCCATCTTCATTCCCAGAGCCCAATTCTTCGGCCCTAGTCCCCTCCTTGCCATCACCTCCTCCTCCCCCAACAGAGAACCTCCCCCAGGTAGGAGCTGGGTGTCTGCACCCATCCATTCCACCAACACCTCTCCTGCCTGCATGCTACTGCCAGGGCCAACTTTCAGGGTTCATGTAATGTTTTAATTTCTTTTAAAATGAGAAGGAAACAGAGCAGGTGTTTGGTGTAGCAGTTAAGACACCTGCATCCCACATCAGAATGCCTGGTTTGGAGTCCTGGCTCTGCTTCTGATTCCGGCTTCCTGCTGGTGCGCACCCCGGTGACAGCTCAAATGCTTGGATCTCTGCCACCTACGTGGAGAGACTCAGGTGGAGTTCTTAGCTCTGGCCTTTGGCCTGGACCAGCCCCAGCTGTTGCAAGCATTTGGGAAGTGTACCAGTAAATGGAAGATCTCTAATTCTCTCTCTGTCCTTCAAATAATATATTTTTAGAAATATAAAGATAGAAAATAAAAATTATGAAATACAACTCAATGAGAGCTTAAGAAAATCAGAAAGGAAAAAAATTAACTTTTAGGTCAAAGAGAAAAACTTGCAAACCACAGCCTTCAGTCTTTTATTATGGAGGAGGGGGCCCATGAAAGCCGAGATGCAATGCAGCCCAGAGCCCAGGAACAGGAATGGTCTCTCCATCTCCCTGCCCAGCCCCCATTCCTCCCCTCTCCTAAGTTCTTTCATGACCCCAAGCCCTGCTGAAGGACTTCTCGAAGCTGGAGGGGACATCACCACCCCAGAACAGCATGGGAAGCAGCAGCCCTGGACTCTGGGCCCAGCGTGGATGCCCTGGGGTGAGCTGCCTAAGCTCCGTGTTTCTACGAAAGCAAAAGCTCCTGGGAAGTGCAGAGTTGGTCGCACAAGGATTCCTTCTGCCCTATGATCCAGGTTCTCGGAGGGGGTGACTCTTGGCGACTGTGCTGACCCTCAGACAGACCTGGTGCACCTCCCAACCATGGGAACTGGGCAAGTCACCTCACCCCTGCGCCGTCTCCACACCTGTGAACGGGGTGATGCGGTGTTTCCCCCTTACGTTGTTGAGATGCCACACCTGGCAACAGCGACTGCTCAAGCCAAATGCGGACTTTGTGTGAGTCTTGTTTCCTGTTCTCATCCTGAGAATTTTTAAATACCCGACCTAGTGCCACAGCCTCACTTTCTGCCAGCCACAGGCCAGGTCTGGGCAGCTTGTTCTTGGTTCCCAAGCCCCACACCTCCCTGGGCACAGGCTGAAGGAAGGCGTCTGGTGTCCAGTCCTCTCTGGCTGCCCCGAGGGTGTGGGTAAGGAGCAGGTAGGGCCTGGCAGAGGCTGCACACCTGCCCCCCAGCAGCGCCTACTGGCCATTTCTCCCCCGCGCATCTCCCACTCCCTCCCTCAGAAAGCACAAGAAAGTTCTAGCCTAAACTCAGTGTGTGTGTGAACACTTTTTTCTCACTTTTCCTGTGCAAATGTCATTCTGCTTCCAATCTTTCAGCATCCAAGCCCTCGTTCCCAGAGCCGACGGTGGTGGTGGTGGGGAGGGCTTGGGGGAACTCTCCTCCCTGTGCCAGACCCTTCTTCTTTTATCACTGCCCTGGCTCCTCCCCCAGCTCCTCGCCCCTGGACTCTGCCTCTCAGGAAGTCCCCCTCTGGCACACGCGCAGCTGCTCCCCTCTGAGTGTTCTCCTCTCCATCCCGATCCACTGCCGGCCCCCCAGCCCATCTGAAAACGCCACCACCTCTGCCTCTCTCCCTGTACCTCTAGGGGACCTGCGCGGCCCGGAGGCAGTTGCCATGGAGACCCGCCTGCACCCAAGCCCCACCCTCCCCCATCCCCGCACCACTCCACCCCACCCCCTCGCCCCAGCACGCGGGAGCGCGCAGGCGCCACCACACACCACACACACAGACACACACGCACGCACGCACGCACAGTGTAGACCCGGTCTCTGCCGTTCTCCCTCCCGCCCTCTGGGCTCCCCGCAGGCTCACGCTCTGCTTCTCCCCACGCTGCCGCCCCACATCGTCCTGCCCCCGTACTGATAAGAGGACACCGGAGCGCCCTTAGGCGACGAAGAGAAAGGGAGGGGGGCGCTGACAGAGCAGATCCTGCTCGTCAGACGCAGCCGTTCCCCAGACCCTCACGCTCCCCCTCCCTGCCAGGGCCAAACCCCCTCCCCTCCCCGAGGAGGCGGACTACAGCTCCCGGCAGGCTGAGCAGCCCGAAGTCCTGGGCTGGAGGAGCAGGGCACGCTGGGAGATGGAGTCTCGGCGTGGTGCACCTGCCGCAGGAACCAGTGAGGGGAGGAGGGTGCGCGCAGAAGATGGAGCGCGGCTGCGGTGGGAGCCGCCTGCAGGGCCTCTTTCCCCAAACGCAAGCCTTCGCGTCCTCTGCGGAAGCGGAGGGACACACGCTCATTCCCTGCCCTTCTCCAAGGTCCGGCGGAGAAACCGCCCCCTCCCCCACCCGCCCTCCTCCCCACTGGGGCTCTGCAGCTCCTGCCCAGACATCCAACCAGGAGTTGTTCCAGGCTGGGCCGGACCAACGCGACCTAGCGGGGAGACGAAACGAGAGGGCGGAGTTGGAGAGAGGGCGATGGTCCACACGTGCAGGCAAAAATAATGACCTATGAGCGCTATGCAAAGGAGTTCAGTGCACCTCCCTCCTAGGCGGGGTCGCTGAGGGGCACCGCTCTGAGGTCTCCAGGTAGCCTCCTCCCCTCCCCCACCCCCTCCCCGCCGGGTCACTCACTCACCACCTTCCAGCGATCCTTGACCACGTAGTTGGCCGGCAGAATGTCGGCCTGCTCCCCTCCCCCACTCATGTTGGTTTCGTCCTTAAGAACAGCCGCTAGGCACTGCATCCGCAGGCAGGACGGAGGGGTGTCCGCAGGGCCTGCCCTGGGGGGGCCATCTACCTGGAGGGGGGTGGAGAGGGACCATGAGTGGGGACCTGGAGGCCTGGGGTGCCACTCTCCTGTCCTGCATCCTCTCTGGGCCCATGCTCTGGGGACTACTGTGGGAACACCCCGCTGGAGGTCAGTGCAGGAGAGACACAAACCGGAGATGTGAAATCGGCAGCAAGGCACACATGTTGATGAAGAGGACAGGGGAACAGTGGATGCCCAGGCTGCGGGGATGGCATTTGCCAAAGAGACACGTGCCAGCTAATGTGGGGAGAACTCGCAGACCAAGAGGGCATCCTGGCACAGGGACCTCGCCTCAGTGTAGGAGGCCTGGGCCTGTAGGGACCAGTCTGAATGAGCTGGGGCCCGTGGCTCCACACCTTGCCTTTGCCAAGAAATGTCCGTGGAGCTGCGCTTCGGAGGCGCTGAGAAAAGGAACCAGCGGCTGATCCTGGGGAAACCTGCAGCAGAGTGGCCTGGCCATCGAGCAAGGGAGAAAGTGGGAGGCTACACCTCAGCCCCCAGGACCGTGCTGAGGGAGGAGGGGCGAGCCAGCCGTGAGCTTGGGGAGTGAGGAAGCACAGTGGGGTGAGCCCAAGGTGATGGGCTGAAGACACAGATTCTGGATGACCACCGAAGCAGGCTGCGCTGTCAAGAGCAGGAAAGTGGGAGCAGCCCAGTAGAAGGCAGGGAGCTTCAGGTCAGGGTGGACACGGGGCGACACAGCCTCGGGCCATACCTCTCCGGGTCTGCTCAGGAGCCCACAGGGCGCACAGCTCTGGTTGCCTTAGGAGGGGTAGAAGTTGGCTACCAGGGAGAGTGTCCCAGCTGTGAGGGTTGGGAAAACCAGGCACTTGTTACACAGGGCAAAGCAAGTGTGCGTACCTCTGCCTGCGCCTCCCTGGGTGAGTGTGTGTCTTTGTGCCTGGGTCTGAGATGTGCACGTGTGTGGGGCAGAGGCAAGAGGGAATGACTCTCCGAGCTCTCTGCCAACCTGAGACAGGCTTGGGAACCAGGATCTTTCCCCCAACATTTTTGACATGCACAGCGACCCTGGTGGGTCACAGCCAGAAGCGACTTGGGCCCGGGGCTTGGGGAGGGGAGGGAGGCAGGGGAGGGGAGGGAGGCAGGAGAGGAGCAAAGTGACTAAAGCCATCCATGGATGGGGCAGGAACAAGCTACACCTGTCTTTCCTTGGGATGGGCTCCTTTCCCAGGGCTCCTGTGTGGAGACCTTCTGAGCCAGGGGCAGCGAGGGGTGTGAAGGTTCTGGTGTGCCAGGGGGCCATGCGTGAGAGATCTCACCAGGGAGAGACACTGCTTCTCTTTCTTACAATGACTAAGCTGAGCCGTGTCTTCCAAGTCACACAACTTCAGTGACTCGGGCCCTTCCCTCCTCCTGCTGAAGAAGCATGGTAGGGGACAGCCACAGGGATTGGGAGGGCAGGAAGAAGGGAGAGGTGGGGATGGAGGTTCCGGAACCAGGGCGTTGGAGACAGGCCCTGGCCAGAAGAAACCATCACCCTGGTGGGGAGGGGTCTGAAGAGTTAGACAGGGTGACCTCTGCGGGGCCACCCAGGCCTGGGATGGTACACTCTGTGCGCCAATGAGGAAAATGTGTGTCCTGCTTCAGTGCTGAGATGAGTAAACCTCAAAGGAACAGGCACGAGGGGAGAGGGAGACCTACCTCTCCCTGTCCTCCCCCGTCTGCCTCAGAGGACCGCGCACACAAGGAGAGCCCTGGCTGCCCCGTAACAACCCCCTCAGGCCCCTGGGTTCACAGCCAGGGGGAGGGCATGTGGAGGAGGTTCCCATTCATCACTTTCACGAGCGTGCGTGCAGGGCCAGTGATGTGTGTGCGTGTGTGTACATGTGCGTGGATGTGTGCCGGACAGCGGGGGCTGCATAGCTAGCAACTGGGGGCTCATCGTGGTATGACAACGTAAGGATGAGTACCTGTGCAAGGTGTGTGCCGTGTGTGTGTGTGTGTGTGTGTGTGTGTGTGGGAATCTGGGAGCCCAGGTAAGGAGAGGTAAGGGAGACCAGTGAGAGGTACTGGGAACAGGTGGAAAGGAGTGTGGCAAGGGGCAGAGGGGAGTGGGAGGGAAGAGGGGTGATGGATCAGAGCAGGGAGTTGGGAATCCTTGAGACAGTAAGTGATAATGACAGGTGAGGAAGTGCCAGGGCGGTGCATGGGCTCCTGGGCTCCACGGTGAGGTAAGGAGCCTAGTGGAGGAATGCAGGCACAGGGGGAGGGAGAGAGGATCGGGAGCGAGCCGGCTGAATGGTCTGGCCAGGGCGACAGGACAGCCAGGGGTGAGGCCAAGGGAGAGAACACGCCAGCGAGGAGCGAGGAGCGAAATCCCCCGAGGACCGGCTGGAGAGCGCGGTGAAGTGAGCGGGGGGCAGGGAGCGGCCCTAGGCCTCCGGCTGCGGCCCAGGCTGTGCAGGCCGGCGACCGTCTCTGCCGGCGACAGCAGCGAGGAGGGCAGCCGAGCCGCGTGAGCGGCCCGAGGAGCCCTCGGAAGGCGCCCCCTCCCCGACCCCGGCCCGGCCCGCCCGGCCCCGCCCCGCCTCACCTGCTCTGTGCCCGCTGCGGCTGCGGCTGCGGCGGCGGAGGCAGCGGCTCGGGGCGGCGCATCCCCCGGGGCCGGGGCGGGGCGGGCGCGGGGGCGGCTCAGCGCGGCACGGGGCGGCCCGCTCCCTCCGGCGGCGGCGGCGGCGGTGGCGGCCTCCCGACCGGGACCATCCCGGCCCGGCCCGGCCCGGCCCCGATCCTCTTCGGGCGGCGGCGGCGGCGGCGGCAGAGCGGGGAGCTGCCCACAATGCACTGCGCCGCCAGCATCAGCACCAGCCCTGACATCACCGCTCCACCGCCCTGTCTCTGACATCACCGCCCTTTCTCTGACATCACGTTCGACCCTGCCCCTCTCTCTACTCCTCCAGCCCGAGGACTTTCTCTGATAGCTCTCCTCCGACTCTCGGGGCCCCCTCACTGGTCTCTGCCATTCAGCGCTCCATCACTCCTTACCTGTCCCAAAATCTTCACCTGTTCGTCACCTTTTATCTCCCCACTGAGGGCGTGTCCCTAGCATCCCTGGCCTAACCCCACCAGCCTCCCTGACTCCCCACTCCATCCTCCACGTGTTCATGTGGGTCATCTCCCACTGTTTTCCCTCTAACCCGTACCCATCCTGTTCCCATCCCCCCCCCACACACACACACTCCCCATCACTCACCTCTGCTGCAACCACCCCGGGCTTGGACCTGCTCCTCTTCCCTAGTCCTCACCTCAGCACAGCTGTGCCTTTCTTCCCAGCTTAACCTTTCTTTCTTTGGCCCTTTCTTCCGTCTGTTGACAAACTCTGTCTTTGTTTCTTACTGCTTACCAAATAAGACGCACACTCTTTACTGTGACATTAAAAACTCTCCCCAACATGTGTGCATAAGGCCATTACTCCCCTCCAACAGATGGGACTACTCAATATTCTCTGAACATACTCTGCTCTCTGCCTCTCTCAGTTCCCTCCCTCCTCCCCCCCTCTCGTCCCTCTGGCCTTCAACAAACCCACCCTGGGCACCTTCGATAATAACAGCAACAGCTATTTATGTCTGCCAAACGCTGTTCTAACTTTATACCTATGAGGGTACTTTTTAAAGCCTGTGGAAAATTAGATTAAATTATAACTTTATTTTGTGGCAAAACATTGAAGTGCATGCATAGCTTTTTTTTTTTTTTTTTTTTTTTTTTTTTGGACAGGCAGAGTGGACAGTGAGAGAGAGAGAGACAGAGAGAAAGGTCTTCCTTTGCTGTTGGTTCACCCTCCAATGGCCACCGCGGCCGGTGCGCTGTGGCCGGCGCACCGCGCTGATCCGAAGGCAGGAGCCAGGTACTTCTCCTGGTCTCCCATGGGGTGCAGGGCCCAAGCACTTGGGCCATCCTCCACTGCACTCCCTGGCCACAGCAGAGAGCTGGCCTGGAAGAGGGGCAACCGGGACAGAATCTGGCACCCCAACCAGGACTAGAACCTGGTGTGCTGGCACCGAAAGGCGGAGGATTAGCCTAGTGAGCCGCGGTGCCGGCCTTTTTTTTTTTTTTTTTAGCTTTTCAATAATATGCATTTTTTTGAACTTCTGGAAACCTCCTGTATGCATAGATTTCAAGCTTTTGAACCAAAATACTCTTACCTTTCAATGCCATTTTCCATGAAATTTTAAAAAATATTTATTTATTTGAGAGGTAGAATTAAAGACAGTGAGAGGGAGAAAGAGAGAAAGATCTTCCTTCCATTGGTTCACTCTCCAATTGGCCACAATGGTTGGAGCTGGGCCGATCCAAAGCCAGGAGCCAGGAGCTTCTTCCGGGTCTCTCATGTGGGTGCAGGGGCCCAAGAACTTGGGCCTTCTTCTACTGCTTTCCCAGGCTTTAGCAGAGAGCTGGATCAGAAGTGGAGCAGCCAAGACTCAAACCTACTAACACTTCAGGCAGTGGCCTCACCTGCTACTCCACAGAGCCAGTCCAGCAGCCTGGTCTTGAACCAGCTCCCGTAAGGGCATTGCAGGTGGCATCTCCACCCGTTACGCCACAGCACCAGCCCCGCAGCTTCACTTCTGATCCACCTCCCTGCTGATGGGCCTGGGAAAGCAGCAGAAGATGGCCCAAGAGCTTGGGCCCCCGCACCCACACGGGAGACCCAGACGGAGTTCCCAGCTCCTGGCTTCAGCCTGGATCAACCCCAGCTGTTATGATGTGACTGAACCAGCAGACGGAAGATCTCTCTCTCTAGCCTTTCTTCCTCTCTATTGCTTTGCCTTTCAAGTAAATAAATAAATAACAATAAATTTTTAAAAAAGATCCCTTAATGTGCTTGTCTACAAATTTTAGTATCTGGATAATTTTTGGATCTATTGCGACTGATCTTTCTTCTGACCACTGGTCATATTTTCCTGCCTTTCTTCCATACCTCGTAACTTCTTATCCAATGTCAAAAATCGGGAGCTTTACCTGGTTGAGTCCTGGATGTGCCTGAACTTTGCTCTCGACTGGGTTAATTTTTTACTTAAAGTTTGAGCCTTCCGAGGCTTTTCACGTTTTGTTGGATGAGGCCAGAGCAGCCTCTGGCCTAGGACTGATGCCCACCCCTCCCCCTCCCATCTCTCCTCCCTCCCCCCCAAGGCACAGCCCCCAGCCCGGGGCAGCCCGGAGGCTGCTCATCCTCTCATCCTGCTGCCGTGGCTCCTCCTCTGCAGATGCTGGCCAGTCCCCAGCCGCCCCCTCAAGGAGAACACCCTCAACAGCTCTGGCGCTCTCCCCTGCAAACCACTGCCTTAGCTTCCCCGGGGTCCCCACCACGCTCACCTGCGTCTTCGGTCTTTCAGGGTTGCCGCCCTACGCTGCCCCATGTCCAGCGTCCAGACAGTACCGGGCCATCTCCTCCACTGGGCGCTAGTTGTCCAGCAAGGGAGGGTGAGTCTGACCTTGGACCCTGTTCAAGGGCACGAGTTTGAGGAGGAACTGTCAGGGGTCAGGGGCTCCCAATGCCTAATTTCTGCCCTCCTGGAATCACTCTGCCCCGTGGCACTAATCTGAGCTCTCCTTTCTTTTTTTTTTTTTTTTTTTTTTTTTTTTTTTTGACAGGTAGAGTTATAGACAGTGAGTGAGAGAGACAGAGAGAAAGGTCTTCCTTCCGTTGGTTCACCCCCCAAATGGCCACTACGGCCAGAGGTGCGCTGATCTGAAGCCAGGAGCCAGGTACTTCTCCTGGTCTCCCATGGGGTGCAGGGCCCAAGCATTTGGGCCATCCTCCACTGCACTCCCTGACCACAGCAGAGAGCTGGCCTGGAAGAGGGGCAACCGGGAAAGAATCCGGCGCCCCGACCGGGACTAGAACCCGGTGTGCCAGCGCTGCTAGGTGGAGGATTAGCCTATTGAGCCGTGGCGCCGGCCAGAATAAATGCCTTAATAAATCTACCTCCCCCTTACAGATTAGATGACACTTTGAAGATGTGTAACAATGAGCAAGCTCAGGGCCAGCATTATGGCGTAGTGGGTAAAGCTGCCATCTGCGGTGCCATCATCACATGTGGGTGCCAGTTCCTGTCCTGGCTGCTCCACTGCCAATCTGGCTCCCTGCTGGTGGCCTGGGAAAAGCAGCAGAAGATGGTCCAAGGGCTTGGGTCCCTGTCACCCGTGTGGGAGACACGGAAGGAACTCCTGGGTCCTGCCTTCCACCTGGCCCAGCTCTGGCTGTTGCAGCCATCTGGGGAGTGAACCAGCAGATAGAAGATCTCTCTCTCTCTCTCTCTCTCTACCTTTCTCAGAATACATAAATATTTTAAAATAAGTAAAGTTAAACTATAATGTCCAGGGAGGCACATTTGAGTGATAAAACTGTAAAGAAATACAAGAAAGTTTATTTATGTCTTTTTTTTTCTTTACTGTAAAAGCAGAGGTAGTGGCTGCTTTTAGAGGGAGTAAGGGGCTGTGATTGGGAGGGGGCACACAGAAACGTGAGGGTGATGGTTACTAGAGTGTTTATATTAGAGTAATCATTTATTTTAGGTGGTTTCTGTAGCTGGGTTTTTATTTTACAATGGAAATACTTTTACTGAGGCCAGCACTGTGGTGCAGTGGGCTAAGTTACTGTCTGTAGTGCCAGCATCCCATGTTGGAAGATCGTCTGGTCTAGGCTGCCTCACTTCTGAGCCAGCTCCCGCTATTGGGTCTGGGAAAGCAGCAGAGGATGGCCCGAGTGCTTGGGCCCCTGCCACCCATGTGGGAGACCCAGGTGGAGCTCCTGGCTCCTGGTTTCAGCTTGGTCCAGCCCCGGCTGCTGTGGCCACTTGGAGAGGGAACCAGCAGATGGAAGATCTCTCTCTCTCTCTCTCTCTCTCTCTCTCTGCTTTTCAAATAAATAAATCAAGCTTTTTAAAAAGGAAAATACTTTCATTGACATGTCCCCTGAATGAGTGAGTGAGCAGATCTGGAACTCGAACATCAGTAAAAGAGACGTCCAGCCTTTGTGCTTCGCACTGGAAGTGCACAGCCCACCTGTGAAGTAACCCTGTCTCGGGTTGAATGTGACTCTGACCAAGCCTTAGATCCAGACCCAACTCAGTGGAAATAAGGACAACAGAGGAACACGTTAGGAGATGCCGCAGGGACATAATCAATAAACCCCAGACTGCAGGAACTTTAAGGGGAGAGAGAGAAGAGAAAGATATAGGATATGCAGGGAAAATGTGCATGTTTAAAAATAGATGCAAAAGACATGCCAACCAAACACAGTAAGTGGATTTTATGTGGATCCCGACTTTAGTCAAATAAATTATAAACAAATATGTATAACATTTGCAAGATTATAGGAAATTTTTATTTATTTGCAAGGCAGAGAGACAGAAAGAGACAAAGACAGAAATCTTCCATCCACTGGTTCACTTCCCAAATGCCTGCAAAAGCCA